CCAAAGCCCATGTGTGAAGTTATTCACATTACAAAGGGCCCACTGCTTATCTGTCACAAACAAGTATGTTAACCTACTACTGGGTACTATTTTCTACTTACCATATCAGTTGGAAAAAAAGGCAGAGAAAAAAGGTAGGTGAGGAAGAGTTTGTTTTCCATTGTACAAAGGGTATTAAACTACAAAATAAATGTTTTTCAAATAAAGAGTCAATGACATATATAAGTGCTATCTTTTATCAGATAAATACACGCAAATAACAAAAAAGAAAAAGAAAAGCGGGATTATTTACATATATCAATTACATAAGGAGGACAAAATAAAATTTTTCCTGATTTGATTTTTAAGTCATTTGTATAAAAACAATCTTGATATAAGATAATGGCATGTTTCACTAAAAATAATGTAAGTTGAATTTTTTTGAAATATATTTTTAATATACCAGGAGAGTTCACTAAATAAAGGAAAATAAAATACTTTCAATTAAAAATAATATATGTGGAAAAGTAACTCAAAACATAATAAAGGGATAAAATAGGATGCTTTTATATGCATGTGAAATAAATTTCAAAATAATAGTTACTAAAAGAAGGTGAAAGTTTATGTTTTCCCTTGTAAATCAATTCTAGAGATTAGTAGCAAAGGAAGGGTTAGGCTGCCTCTACATTTTCAAGGACCTGGGCCCTTTGTAGCTGGTTGTTCTGCCATGTGACTTCCATTCCCAAATCAACTAGAGATCTAGAGACCACATTTGTATTCTATCCTAGAAGAAGGAGGAAACACTGAAGAAAAGTACCTACCTCCCTTCCCCATTTAAAGACATTTCTGAAAAATCATATTGTTGGTTTATTAATGTATTTCAAAATTCACATGTTGAAGTCTTAACTCCTAGTACTTCAGAATGTGAACTTATTTAGAAATAGGAATAGGGTAATTGCAGATGTATTAGTTAAGATGAGGTCATTAGGTTGGCTCTAATCGAAAATGATTGGTATCCACCCTGGCCATTATGGCTCAGTTAGTTAGAGCATCATCCTGTGCACCCAAGAGTTGTGGGTTCAATTCCCAGTTAGGGCATATACCAGATTTCTGATTCAATGCCTGGTTGGGGCATGTATGGGAGGCAACTGATAGATGTTTCTCATTCACATAGATGTTTCTCTCTCTCTCCCTCCCTTCCTCTCTCTCTAAAATCAATAGAAAACATATCCTCAGGTGGGGATTAAAAAAAACCCAAGCCCCAAAATGACTGGTATTCTTCTATAAAGGGTAAACTTAAACAGGAGACGTACATGCACACATGAATAACATGAGCATTTATTTAGAAGTCAAAGAGAGAGGCTTGGAAGATACTTCTCTTACAGCCCTCAGAAGAAACCAACCTTGTGGATACTTTGATTTTAATTTCTAGCCTCCAGAACTGTGACAATGAATTCCTATTGTTTAAAGTACTGTTTGTAATATTTTGTTGTGGCAGCCTTAGAAAACTACTACATCATTCAAAACACCTCTGTCCAATGGCCAAATCTAGCTTCAGGGAGGTTGAGAAATTGAGTCTTTATTCTCTTCAGCCCTTTGTCCAGCTAAAAATACAAGATAGTATTACTTAAAAGGGGAGAGAATGTCTATTGGGAAGACAATAACCATTGTTTTCCAGAAAGTGAAAAGTGAAAGGCTCTGAACACTATTAATTTTTCATGTTTTTAAATTACAGTTTACAGTTAATATTATCTTATATTAGTTTCAGATGTAGAGCATAGTGGTTAAACAATCACATACTTTACACAGACAGCCTTATTCACCTATACTTTATCATCAGACTTAAATGGCATTTCCTCTAAAGCATTGCTTTGCTCTTCGAGACAGAATTAATCACTCTTTTCTGTTCCCATTGAACTTGCACTTGACTCTATCAATAGCACTCACATTGGCTCACACTTAAATAGTGTTTAGGTTTACAAAGGCTTCATAAAATATTTCAATAATGCTCACAAGAGTCATGTGAGTACAGATGAGGGAAACTAACACATATAATTTGTAAACATGAGGAACTTGGATTTTAATCTAATCTTTTAAAAAATTTATGTGCCCTTTAGATTACATATTGTAATTACTCACTGAAGTAGGCAGATATTTGGTCACTATGATGTTCACCTCCTGAAGTTAATCTCCTGAGCATGTTAAGTTATTGGGGGAAAGAAAATGTGCATATGTAATTAATATTACTAATTTTCTGACCTTAAAATAGGTAGATTATCCTGGATTATCAATGTGTGCCTTATGTAATCACATAAGCTCTTAAAAACAGAAAAGAAGGTCAGGAGTGTAAATCAGAGAGGTTCCAGGCATGAAAATAACTCAATGTATCATAGCTTTTTGCAGATGGAAAGGGCCACATGAGAAGGAATCCAAGCAGCTTCTAGAAGCAGAGGGCAGACTCTAGCAGACATCTAGCAAGGAAATAGTCACCTCATTTCTACAGCCTCCAGGAAATGAATTCTGCCAACATCCTGAATACATTTGAATTTTTTTCTCAGAGCTTGCAGATAAAAGCCAGTCTAGTCTATTACCTTGACTTTGACCTTGTGAGACTCTACAGAGACAACCTCGCTAATCCACATTGTGTCTGGACTTCTGACTCATGAAAACTATGAGAAAATAAATGGATCTTTTTAAAGCTGCTAACTTTGTAATAATTTGTATGGCTACAAATGATAACTAATATATCCATTTACTTGTATCCTGTACTAAATTATGAGTTACTAAAGAGCTGCTATTGATTTTTAACCACTCCTCTCCCCAACCAAACCACAGCATATGGTCTATCTTAGTAGTAGTCATTAGTAGTGGGCAATAAATTAGTCGCTTGCATTTATTCAGCATTTTCGTGCCAAATATTGTTTCTTACACATAACATATTTAACCCTCACATTATGAAGTAGGTAAATTGCTATCCCCATTTTAAAGAGGAGGAAACTGAGGTTTAAGTAACACAGCCAGTCAAACAGCCAATAAGTTGCAGTGTCAGAATTTTAAATCTAGTTCCAGATCTGTGCAACATTGAGAACCAGTATGCTATGTGGTTTATTGAATAAACACTCAATAAATATACATCAAATTGTTTGTTGAATTAACTTCAAGCAAACTACTTCTCCTTAAAGTAGAAGGCCAGGTGTTCAAAATAAAAGGTCTGTTTAGGCAATTGTTTAGCAGAATTCCAAGTTTACTCCAGGCTCCTTCCTTAGATATTTGGATTGAGTAGATTAGGGATGGGACGGATAAATCTCCATTTTTAAAGCCCCAGGTGATTTTTTACAAGATCAGACTGAGAAACAATGTCTTATATCATCCAAGCATTGATTTAATAAATCATTGCAGACATTGGTTTAATATTCATCTAAACAAATAAAATTAAGTAGTCTGGTAGTAAGGTTGAAGACTTTATTGCTTCCTTTAGGTTCCCTCTAAATAAGAGAAAATGTCTTTGAGGCTATAATTTTGGAAGTACTGCCGTTTATCAAGAGGACCATCATTGGCAAAGTAATATTAAGTATCAAATTCAGGAATACATTGGGGACTTCCAGACATTTCACATGATTTTAAAATATAAGGTTTTCTGGTCTTTTGAATTAAAAAAAGATAATGATAAAGACATAAGTATCAGACTCAGTTTTCCTTATTGTTATTTAAATCACTATTGGCAATTTATGTGACTTGTTAAAGTAAAGGGGCCTTTTAAACTGTGTTACAGTATATTTATGTATTTCGTACACTGAATATTTTATCACTAGCTTTCAATGAATTGTTTTATTGTACTGAATTTATCGTAACAAGATATTTATTACATGTTCTCTTATTCGTGTTGTTACCCTGCTCAGTGAAAAATAATTTATATTTTCATGACATTTACTTGTTGATAGTAGTTTTTATAACCTTCATTTTTTTCTACTATTCATTTTTCCATGATGATTTGTTATATAAAGATTTTACAACAGCCTCCTAAGTTTTATGCATGATGAATCATAATAATGGCAAACTGTCTCCTTGTGTATGAAGTCAATAACAGAATGAAAATATGTTATTATTACAATATTTTATAATTAACTATAAATGATGAAAAGCTTGGCCAAATATTAATACATGTATACCTATTCATTTGGATATTGATTATCTTTTCATTGTTTCATAGTTATAAGGACAGATACCCAGTATTCAGGTGACAAATTATGATGGATTATGTTCCTATTTATTTGGCTGTGTATCATAAACCAAATAAAATTGGCTAAATAGAGAAAATCTAACTGGAATGCTCTATTTACTGGGATAACTTGTATTTAAAATTATAGGCTGAAAGATATACACTATATTGAAGTGTTACCTCAATCAACAAGGTAAAATTAAATTATGCCCAACACATAGTCTGTATTAAATCTATCTTATTCATATTTTAATCTTATGAATAATAGTGATATATGTAGGATCTCTGATAAATATCTACTAAATAGACTTTATGATTCCTCAAAACACTTCACTCCCTTACATTGTTGGATAACAATTTATCAAACTACACACTTAGACATTCCCCCACTTTCTTCCTAAATTAAATCTTAATGTTATTTGCAACTGCCAAATATTGTTCATTCTGAAAGATGTAGTAGAGGAGTTGGAGATTTTTTGAAGTGCCTAGTCAAGCCTAATGAACCTGCTTCTTTCTGCAAGATGGGTTGGGAGAATGGGGCCAGAAAGTTGATTCACTAGATAAGGGACTCTGCTTTCTCCTTCACACTTTTCCCAAGCACACTGAAACATGTCATCAATTAGTTCTCCATTTAAGTTAAGGATCTACTTTTATAAAAGGCAGATCAACTTTATGGGCTTCAATTATTGTTTTTTCTTTGTCGTTCCTTTCTGCCAATTTGAAGGAATTCTACAGTCTTTGATTCTGCTACCTCTATCTCTCCTCTTATCATTGCTCAGTTCATCAACCTCTTCTAACATACCTTCTCCTTAGCTGCAGCTTCAAATATACCAGTGTCAGCTGTAATAAAGCAGTTAACAAAAATCATTAAATCAGCAAACATACTTTCAAAAGTAATGCTAAGTCAATGAGCTGTTCCATGATGGCTTGAAAGGGGTATTTTAGATCAAGTTTATGAGCTTTCACACTGGTCAGTAGACTGTTTTGGTTATATTGATTCCTGGGAAATACACAGCTGAAATGTCGAAATTTATGAATGGAAGTGTTAAGTTTACTCATTAAATTTGGGCCATTAACATAATAAGTCAACAACAAAATATTAATATGGAGGGTTTATGCATTCCAATTTTTCATGGAGTATAAGATTAAATAATGCAGAGGATATAATCCACACATATATAAAACAGTGTGCTTATATTTTTACACAGTAATAACAATTACCTAAGGTATGAATCAGCACCAAGCTGTAGGTTTTTACTATCTCTTCTCTGATATGGGTTCATCGAAGATGAATATGCTCTTATTCAATTTTCCATCTTTTTATTCCCAGCCTCACACAGTGCATTTTCTCTAGATATCAGTAGATACTTGTTGAATGAATAACTATCTAGATTATCCAGGCCTCATAATATAGCTATGCAATCAGTTGCTTACCTATTCAGAAGATAATACTCTCTTTGAAGATAGGGGCCTTATCTGATTCATGTCTACTTCCCTTACCACTTCACACATTTTGTTGAATATGCATGGATCCAAAAAACATTTTTTAATTGAATGGAATTGAGTAAAGAAAGGTATTAATGAGACCAAGACAATTTGTCCTATTTTGGAGTCATGCAGTTTGGACTCACACATACTATATATGTAGGCTGAATCTCTAAATATAATTTATGTTAACAACCTGGGAAATGTGAGCTTTTGGTTTTTAAAATAATGGGCCAGAAAATGCTCATGGATTAAAGCAGTGTTTGTGAAAGTGTGCTAGGTAAAATCTAGGGTTATACAGTGTTCTCAAGGAGGTAAATGAAAGCAAAATGTAGAGCTCCATGACTTCCCATGAAAAAAAGCATCTTTTATCTGTTGAATATATTACATTCATAAGTTTTCATTTCTATAAAGTGTTCCTGGAGTTTAACTCTCACCACAATAAGTCTAGTTAATAGCCATCATTTCATATAGATACAAAAAAGTTTGTTTTATTCTTGTGATGAAAACTCTTAGGATTTACTGTCTTAACAAATTCAAATGTACTATACAATAGCGTTAACTATAGTCATGTTGTAGATTACATCCTTACTACTTATTTATCTTATAACTGGAAGTTTTTACCTTTCGACCACCTTCCCTTAAGTTCCCTTCCTCCCACCAATCCGCTAACACTGAAAATATGGATTTCTAATCAATTTTTAAAATAGTCATCCTATTAGTGCATTGAAACATTAAGAGATAGAATTATCATACCAAAATGATTTGATTCAATCATATTGAGGTCATAATCAGTGCTCCATCATATTATTTAAGTGGTATTAAAATTAAGATTGATTTCATTAAGCAAATATGTCTTTCTATTCCCTTGAGCATCTTCCTGGTAAGAAGGTCAAAATTGTCATTTTTTCACAAATATAAAAATTGATAAAAAACTTAACCTTTTTCTATATTTTTTCTCAATGTATATTTGGAATTAATAAGCAAAGCTTGAAAGTTCTTTTTTTCAGGAATGATAGTACATTGGGAAGAAATTAGCAGTCATTGGTAACACATCCCTTTATTGCAAAAGGTTTCAAATTGTGTCTCGTGAGAATTTGTCCTGCTATCCAACATGATCTCTACTCATATGTGACTATTGAGCTCTTAAAATGTGGCTAATCCAAGTTGAGATGTGCTATAATTGTAAAATACACATTATATTTTGAAGACTTAGTCCAAAAATGTAAATATCTCATCAATCATATTTACATTGATGACATGTTGAAGCTAATATTTTTCATATATTGGGTTAAGTAAATATATCACTAAAATTAATTGAACCTATTTCTTCCTATTTTTTTAACATGACTACTAGAAATATTAAAATCATCTATGCATCTTATACTTTGTATTTCCACAGGACAGTGCTGCCCTAAAAGTTTCTCCAAAGCTGGGGATAAATTGTTGAAAGAAAACAAAAAAGCAGGTCTTTGAGTCCTACTCTTCTACTCAACAAGAGCAGCTCTGATTTAACTTGTTCCACATAGTTGACTTCTGCCTAAGATTTTGTTTTTTTAAAAAGTTGCTAAGATCAAAGAAAGCTTTTTTATTAATTAAATAAAATGTTTCGTATTTAGGAATGAAAGACATTGTCTTAGACACTTTTTTATTATTATTGATTTCAGAGAGGAAGGGAGTGGGAAAGAGAGGTAGAAACATCAATGAGAGAGAATATTGATTGGCCGCTTCCTGCATGCCCCACACTGTGGATCGTGCTTGCAATCTGGGTATATGCCCTGACCCTGACCTCCTGGATCAGGGCATATACCCAGTGGCCTCCTGGTTCACAGGTCCATGCTCCACCACTGAGCAATGCCAGCCAGGCGCTGAGACATGTCTTATGAATCACTTATAACCCCCTCTATTTTGTTTTTGTCTTTTGTTCCTCCTCTACCTGGTATCTGATTCAATGACCATGCATTTCACTTTGCCTTAACAATTTGTAAGCCTGCTGTCTCATTTTAATTATTAACATTGTTCCCTTTCCATCTCATAAGTGGTCCACTTCAAACTGTAAGTTGTATGGTCACCTTGGTTCTGACTAATTTTTTCAGGTACAACCTCAGAGTCCCTGACATCCTACCCTCACAGAACCCCTTTTGCCTCATGTCCCAGGGTTCCCTGTTAACATTGTCATAAACACAGTCATGAAATCAGTGCTCTTGCCCATAAATGAGCAACTTAGAAACACAGAGGAATTAAAATCTCATGAGCAAATCTTTGACCTATGGGAGGAGCAAATAAATTATTCCTTCTGCTTTCTCCTCACACCCTTCCCTACCAGGGATAGTCTATATATAGTCTATATAACTTGGGAGTAGGGTGGGGGGTGCACAGGTAATCAGTTCCAAGAACCAGGTAATTACATTTAGTAGTGAAGCTCAATACAAGATCTGTATATTGCACTGTGTATCCACCACCCAAAGTCAAATCTTCTCCTGTCATCTTATATTAGAACCTCCTTTGCCCCCCACCCCATTCCCTCTGGCAACTACCACACTGCTGTTTGTGTTCATGAATTTCAGTTTTATATCCCACATATGAGCAAAATCCTATGGTTCTTACTTATTCTGACTGACTTATTTCACTTGGCATAGTATTCTCAAGGTCCATACAGGCTGTTGCAAATGGCAGTATCATAATAATAAAAGGCCAATGGCCATAACGACCAAAACAACCAAATGAACAGTCACCAGGAAGTGCATAGAGCACCTCTTGGGTCCTCCCCAATGGCCCACAGGCTCCTATCACAGCAAGGATGGCAGCCAATGAGCAGGCAGGACAGCAGGCAGTTGGGTGCGGGGAGGTGAGCACAGAGAGGTCGTTATGCCTCCGGTCTGGGCGCAGGGCCACAGCGAAGAGGCCTGGCCTCTCTGCCACAGCCCTGTGGTACGGCTGGAGGCATAACGACCTCACTGACACCTCTGTGACGCCTGTGGATCAAGCCTGAAGAGAGAGGCAGGGCCTGATCAGCAGTGCCATGGCTTCTGTGCATCAGGCCTGGAGAGAGGCCCAGAGAAAGAGGCAGGGCCTGATCTGCAGCAGCCGCAGATCAGGGCCAGAGAGAGAGGCAGGGCCTGATCAGCAGCTACTGCAGAGGCTGCAGATCAGGCCTGGAGAAAGAGGCAGGGCTTGATCTGTAGCCGCCATGGAGGCTGTGGATCAGGCCTGGAGACAGCTGTCAGTGGGCCATTCTGCATTTCCCAGAGGAGCCAATGGCTGCCTCGCAGGTGGAGCTTTTGACATTGACTGGCATAGAAACCAACCAATCAGAACTAAATCTGGGTGAACTGTGAGGAACCAATGGCTGACTAGGAGGCAGAGCTTTTGACACTGACTGGCATAGAAACCAACCAATCAGAACCAAATCTGGGTGAAGTGCGAGGAGCCAATGACTGCCTAGGAAGTGGAGCTTTTGACACTGACTGGCATAGAAACTGACCAATCAGAACATAATCTGGGTGAACTGCAAAGGCAGAACCTAAGGTGGGGGCTGAGGAGGGGTTTTAAGGGCAACAGCTGTTTGGTGTAAGGTGTAAGAAAACAGTTCAATTTTTTAATGACCAGTTTGGCAGTATAGTGCATATGGCTGGCTATCAGTCCAGATATAGGGGTTATGTATTTTTGTCTGCCAAGAGCATCTCCTCCTGCTGAAAAAGGCTCCCCCCCCCCATTTAAGCAATCCTATCCTATATAATCTATCTATACTAATAAAAGGGTAATATGCTAATTAGACCAGGTCAACTGGCCATCTTCTGGATGTCCGACATTCTTCCAGACAAAGCCATGGTGGTGGGGGCTGAGGCAGAGGCAGTTAGGGGTGAGATCAGGCTGGCAGGGGAGGGCAGTTGAGGGTGATCAGGCCAGCAGGGGAAGGCAGTTGGGGGCAACCAGGCCGGAAGTGGAGGACAGTTGGGGGTGAGATCAGGCCAGCAGGGGAAAGCAGTTGGGGGCCAACTGGCCTGCAGGTGAGGGCCATTGGGGCCAACCAGGCCAGCAGGGGAGGGCAGTTGGGGGCATTAGGCAGGCAGGCAGGTGAGTGGTTAGGAGCCAGTAGTTTAAGCCCGATTGCTGGTTTAAGCCTGATCCCGAGTGGTTGGACATCCCCCGAGGGTTCCCAGATTGGAGAGGGTGGAGGCCAGGCTGAGGGACACCCCCTATGCATGAATTTCATGCACCGGGCCTCTAGTTTCTTGTAATAAAGTAAGCTACGGAAAATGTTATTAGGAAAATCATAAGGAAGAGAAAATAGATGTACAATGCAGGTGTATATCAAATGACTACATTATACACTTTAATTATAAATAATTTTATTTGTTAACCAGAGGCCTATCCCTCAGCTTGGCCTGCGGGGATCGGGCCAAAACTGGCTCTCTGATATCCCCCAAGGGGTCCTGGATTGTTAAAGCGCAGTTCTCAGGTGATGCACACTGGAATCAGGCTTCCTCCTTTCTGGTTCCGGGTGGGTCACCTGAGAACCATAACTGCCAAGTCACCACAGCTCGGCAGCTCCTGCATTGAGCGTCTGCCCTCTGGTGGTCATTGCACATCATAGCTACTGGCTGGACAGTTGGACAGTCAGACAGTTGCTTAGGCTTTTATATATATAGATGATATCTCAATAAATCTTTGAAAAAGTAATTTATCAACATCATTGGCAGGGCCAGCAGTATAAAGAAATGGATAGTGTTTTAATCAGTCAATATCTTGGGCAACAGTTGCAGAAAAATATAGCTTTGAGTAGTTATATCTGAGT